AGGGGGAGAGGCAGGGGGAGAGGAAGGCGAGGTGGTCGTGGACGGGGTGGTCGTGGACGGGTACAGGCAGAGGCCGAAGAGCAGCAGGAAAGCGATAGTGATGCAGAGGAGGAGGGAGAAGAGGAGGGGGAGGAGGAGGAAGAGGAGGAAGAGGGTATTGTGCAGCCGTCCGACTGGATCACCAAGACCACATCAGACCCGTTTCCATACGTGCCGCAGATCAACGACTGTGTTGCGTACTTTCGGGAGGGCCACGAGGAGTTTATCCAGGCCGCCGTCGCCGACGGACACACCGTCATCAAGCCGTGAGTGCGAGTGAGCGTGCATGTGTGTGCGTGTATGCGTGCGAGTGAGCATGCGAGTGAGCGCGTGTGTGTGAGTGAGGTAGAGTGAGCGCGCGTGTGTGAGTGAGGTAGAGTGAGCCAGAGTGAGGAAGAGTGAGGAAGAGTGAGGAAAAGTGAGGAAGTGTGAGTTAATGCGTGTGTGTGTGTGAACGTATGCAGAAGGTGCTGCCTGGTGTGTGAACAGGGGCGGAGCAAGTGCATGTGTGTGTGTGTGTGTGTGCAATTGACATGCTTTTGACAGCTAGTTTCCATGTGCTGTTCATCCTAACTCATCCTCACCACTCTCCACCCAATACGCTTGCATCTTGCCATTTTCACCAGCAACCGCGCCCCGTGGGTACAGCGGCCGAACCTGCGACCCGTTGAGAAGTGTCGTGTGACGGGCATCAAGTACCGTGTTGGCCCGCCCGCCATGGCAGCTGTTCGCCTGCAGCTGGAGGACCCCAGATGGAACAACGGCACGTGCTCCGTGCTCTACTTTGACTTTGACAAGGTGCCCGATTTTATGATCCCCTATGAGCGGTATGAGCAGTCGACCCAGCGCAACTGGGCCGTTCGCATGCCCTTTGTCTCCTTCTACGGGGACGGCTGGTACCGTGGTCGCGTCATTGGCCGAAACCAGCCTGCCAACCCCAGGCTTCCAAACAGCCCCTGGCGCTCGCTGCTTGTGCAGTGGGATGGTACTGGCAATGGTGGTGGTGGTGGTGGCGCGACGGAGTCTATGAGTCCTTGGGACCTCGACCCCGTGCCACCGGGCATCACCGACGACCAAGTTGGGCCGGACGGGCGCGTGAATGTGGAGTCTGTGTGGTCGTACGATGTGCCGACAATCAGCCCGCTTGAGACGGAACGCCTGCTCGAACTTGTGCGCCAACTCCGATCCGTTTCCGCCCTCTCTGCCTTTGCTCAGCCCGTCAACTTTCGCCAGTTTCCCGCGTACCTCGAAAACGTGCGTGTGTGTGTGTGTGTGCTTACGTGTGTATGTACGTGCTTATGTGTGTGAGTGAGTGTCTGTGTGTGTACGTGCTGATGTGTGTGTGTGTGCGCGTGCGTGTTTGGCACGCGTGCTTGTCGGAAGCTTGTTGTTTCATCGAAACGTGTTGGCTTTGTTTTTGCTCGCACCCCCTCCGCGCTTGTGTTTCACACCACCCCTCCCTCTTTACCAACACCCTCAAGCATCATCCTCACCAAACGAACTGATCGCCTGTTGCCGTTGACAACATGTCACGTCACTCAAATCACATCGAATGCCCACCACCACCTCTTTCCCTCACCTCTCTCACGCGCTACACCATTCCAATCAGATTGCGTACCCGGTGGACCTGCAAACAATTGAGCAGCGCCTGGCCAACAACTTTTATCGGCGCAAGGAGGCGCTGAAGTGGGACGTGGAGGAGCTTGCCCAGAACGCAGAGCTGTTCAACGCGCCCGACTCGCCCATTGCCACGTGCGCGCGGCAGCTGGCAGATGCACTCAAGTCGGCCATCATGGACGAGAGTGCGACGTCCATCGACCAGCTTGTTGAACTCCGTGCGTGGATCCCACCAGACCACACACGCCGGCACCGTGCAAGCGCATCAGCAGCGTCCACAGCCAGAGGAGCAGTAGTTGGCCGCAGCCATGTCCGTGCATCCACAGCATCAGCATCCTCGTCTGCAGCACGTGTAACAACGGGGAGACACAGGCAATCAGCGCTCCCCTCCGCGCCCAGCGCCGCCTCGTCGTCATCGTCGTATGCGACCGCACCGTCAACAACAGCCGCCGCAGCATCCTCTGCAAGCAGACCATCCTCTACCCATCCAGGAGCATCATCATCATCAGCAGCATCATCATCAGCAGCACGGTCACTGCAATCCTCGTCGTCACGATCCCTGGCTGCGAATGGTGCGGTGATGTCGACAGCACATGATGGGTCCTCATCATCGTTAGCAGCCGCAACCTCGGCATCAGCGCTGACCACCCCGGCAGTGGTGGCGATAGCGCCAACCATGGCTGCCCTGTGCCCCGTTTCACCTGCGCGCGAGACACGCGAGCTTGTCGCTGCTGTTGGCGGCGTGAGTGGTGAGCTGACTCGCGCACCACTGACACGGGAACGGTTTGAGGACTTGATGCGGAGCGTGGAGGAGGTGCATACACAGGTGGCGTCAAGCACATAC